CTGCTGCTGCTGCTGCTGGCTGCTGCTGCTGGCTGCTGGCTGCTGGCGGCTGGCGGCTGGCTGCTGGCTGCTGCTGCGGCTGCTGGCTGCTGGCTGCTGGCTGCTGCTGCTGCTGGCTGCTTGCTGCTGCCTGCTTGCTGCTTGGTAGCTGCTGCTGCTGTAGCTGCTGCCGCTGCTGCTGCTGCTACTGCTTGGTGGCTGCTGCTGCTGCTTGGTAGCTGCTGCTTGGTAGCTGCTCCTGCTGCTGTAGCTGCTGCCGCTGCTGCTACTGCTTGGTGGCTGCTGCTGCTGCTGCTGCCGCCTGGGTAGCTGCTGCTGCTGCTGCTGCTTGGTAGCTGCTGCTGCTGCTGCTGCTGCTGCTTGGTAGCTGCTGCTTGGTCGCTGCTGCTTCTGCTGCTGCTGCTTGGTAGCTGCTGCTGCTGCTTGGTAGCTGCTCCTGCTGCTGCTGCTGCTGCTTGGTAGCTGCTCCTGCTGCTGCTGCTGCTTCTGCTCGGTACTGTACCTGCTGCTGCTGCCGGGTACCTGCTGCCTGCTGCAGGTGCTGCTGCTGCTGCTTGCTAGCTGCTGTTGATGCTGCTGCTGCTTGGTAGCTGCTTCTGCTGCTGCTGCTGCTTCTGCTGCTGCTGCTGCTGCTTGGTAGCTGCTGCTGCTGCTGCTGCTTGGTAGCTGCTGCTGCTGCTGCTGCTTGGTAGCTGCTGCTTCTGCTGCTGCTTGGTAGCTGCTGCTGCTTGGTGGCTGCTGCTGATGATGCTGCTGCTGCTGCTTGGTAGCTGCTGCTGCTGCTGCTGCTGCCGTTGCTGGGGTGGTTGTGTGTTGCCATGTGTTGGCTGTGTTGGGGTCGTATTGGGGGGGCGCTGTTGGCACTCTCCTTTTCCCTTGGCCATGGCATGTTGTGATTCCCGGCCAGGCTTTCCTGCCAAAGAGCCCCAGCGTTGTTTCTTTGCCTGCCACCCCGCTCTGGGCCACAAGTTCTTAGAGTCATTATTGGAGTGTTTCGATTGCGCTAAAGACCTCTGTCACTTGAAGACCGCATGACACTGCGGCCATTCTGCTTGCAGTACTTATGACACCAGGGTTAGCAGAGAGAATGTGGTAGAGTCGACTACCGTGCCTGCTTTGCACGGCGAAAACGCTTATTGTGCGTGAGACACAATGACTGCGTCGTCACCCATGTGCCGTGCTGCGCCAGAGGTGGGGAAACACAGAGAAATAGCGGAAACAGTCGGCCAACAAGCGACAATCTCGGACAATCTGACCACATTTACATACCATGCTTAGACTAGCAAGGTGCTTACAAGCGGTGGGTTTTGTTTGTCAGCTTGGTATTGCCATTGAGCGTCTTGAATGAGTTGTGTTCATCACAATCAGGTTGTCATGGAGGTTTACTACGAGTGGTGCAGATGGTTGGAGCTACCACATGAGCTGCCGCCGATCGTAATGGAGCGCCTGGGCCACGGCGGCGAGTACTTGAGGACTGTCCCGAAAGGCTAGCAGAAGCATCATAGAGAACTAATTGTAACAGATCGTAAGAGGATAAATAGCAAAATGTTCAGCTAGTAAAAGAGATGAAAAACAGAAAGGTAAAGCCTTCATCCTTGTAAATCTCTTTTTACTAGGCATTTGCTATCATTTGCTATCTATTTTGGAACACTAAAGGATGATACCGGCTCGCTATTCCGGTCTCCTGGCGTTTGTTTTTGGTTTGTTTTTTCATTGTTTCGGATGCTTTTGGAGTTTCTTTTTTCGACTTCCACAGTGAAGGATCGGAACTCGCACTGTTCCTGACCGTTCCCGATCACTTAGTTGTCAAAAGTGCCTCATGAGCAGATTGGGACAAACAGACCCCTGGACAGACCTAAGGGTGTCCGCAAAGACTGTGTGCCGAATACGTCCATGTGGCCGAATGCGTTCGTCGGTGCGCAGCGCCCCAGGAGCCTTCTTCAGTTCATGCTTCGCAGCTCTGAGCCGCATTGCCACTCGACTTTTGCAGTGAGTCGGCTCTTTAGAATTCATTCTGATCCATTCAAACCATTCAGAGTCCAGCAGGTTGCAACGTTCTGAGTCCAGCAATGGGCTGGACATCTCTCTGTTTTCAGCAATGTGTTGCGCAATAAAAAAGAGAGTCGTGAGCAGTTGAGGTGGAGAATTTCAGAGTTTCGTTGATCCCCCTGTTTCCAAGAGCTGGGAGTCACCCGGTCGTGGTGTACCATTGTTTCTGTTGGAAGTATTTAGCTGATGACTAGGGTCAACAAGAGCCGTAGCCATTGGGTTTTCCATGGTTTTCTTGCGTTTGACACTCTTGTACAACACCCGAAACAGACATGCAAAGCCGTTCCAACTTAAGATAACTAAAGGGTGAATGTGACCATAGAGCGGCACTTCAAACGAGCCATTGGAGTCAGCCGATCATCCAACCTGCGGTGTCGCACACCAGGCCTGGAGATGGTGATGGAGATGGCTGAGTGGAGATCCCAGATGGCGATGCATGCCACATGCATGGCGCTCACAACAGGTGCGGAACAGAGTTTGCGGAACACCCCACTCGTAGACGACGGCAGGGCATGGGTTCTGACGGCATGAGAGCGGTGTGAGAGCGCCATGCATCGTCTTTGCGAGAGCTTTCTCCAGGCTTCACCCAGAGCATGACCCTAGCCTCAACGTGCCTGGAGTTGTTGGGAGGTTTGCAGCCTGGATGTTCCTCCTCCAGTCTGCACATTTGTGCCTTGGCTCGGATAGAGGTCCCAAATATGAAATTATGTTTGAGAGTGGACTCTGGAAAGAGCGATCCTTGCAAAAAAGGTGGACTGGAAGGGTTTGCGTAAGAGTGGTCAATGCCAAAAGCATCTCAAAACACCTGGCCAAATACCACGCCAATAATATAGGAACAAAGGACATCGCTTTTAGGTGCAAGGACGCTACTAGTGGCTCCTGGCCTTACTGCTAGGAACAAGAAGCTACTAGGAACAAGGGCATCGCTACTAGGAGCAAGGACGCTACTAGGGGCTCCTGGCCTTTCTACTAGTAGCAAGGACGCTACTAGGGCTCCTGGCCTTACTGCTAGGAACAAGAAGCTACTAGGAACAAGGGCATCGCTACTAGGAGCAAGGACGCTATTACAGCCTCAAAGATCGGACACAATCAGGACGGCACCTGCCTCTTGCCATGAAAATCCGGTCAGACTGGTCAAAGCTAAGTTCCACCCAAGTATATCGGTCATTATATAACTATGGACCATAGACTATGGACATGTCAAGTCAATCCAACAGGGTGGACTACCAATTGTCAAACAACATACAGAAGCATGCACTCTTTTGACCTTTCTTGATCTTACTGAAACACAAATTACCACATGATTCGAGCAAGGCTGAAACATCCTAGAGCCCGCCAGAATCGTTTGTTGTTCAATTCCTTTTTCATTTTGATCATGGACCATGAGATACCATGAAATACTGGTACCATGATCCACATCAACGGCAGGGTCAAGCACTTTGTTCAGGTACAGTGCTTCAGCATTTGCTGATCGCTCATGAGCCAGAAGTCCTGACGCTTCTGTTGCACTACCAAGCACCCTTCGTGCTGCTACGGGCCTTGAACCGGCCTGGCTGTTCGGAAATCCTGCAGATCATGCTCGGTGTGAAGCTTAAGACAGACTCGACTCTAAGAGTTTATCTTTTTAAAAGCCCGCTCCCCCCCCTTCCTAGTTAATTAAGTAAGCGAGAGGTAGCTAGCAGCTAGTAGTAGCTAGGTAGCTACCTACTGGACGCAGGATAGCTCACACTATTCATGTCACATTCACGGTAGCCAAGTTGCTTGGTGTGGACCTTGTACGACGCCCTCGGATAGATACGAGAAGGACAAGGCACTGGCAGATGCCAAGAGTGCATTCTTCCCTTGCCTTGAGGTTCAGATGCCATGCTTCCCAAGGTGGTACCACACTTGCCCACCAGGCAGGGTCTGGTGCCAATGTCCAGCCACTCCAAAGAATGCAAGATAGTGGCAGAAGCGCGACAAATGACACCCCTAGTAGAGGCAGCTGTCACGAGTTCTTGCATTGGCGGTTTGTGCTCTCCAACCCCCAATGGACAAACAAGGTACAGTAGTGTTGGGTATGATGGCAACCCATGGACGCGCGAGCTCCAGCTGCTTGCCGACCGGAGGCAGTTGCATGTGCACTCCTTGCAGCAGGCCCGGGTGACAAATCCCTTTGGTGTCTGAAGCCATGCATTGAAATATATTGAAACCACATGCGCGGAGTCAACAGCAATAGCACGGCGCACGTGCCAGTGAAGAACTATCAAACATGTCTCCTTTACAGTGGACTGCTCAAGAGCAGGATCTCAGTAGAACGACGAGTTCAATAGACCTCGCTGAGTCCAGGACTTCAGCATCATGCAACTGCTAAGTGAAGCATGTTCTTTGAGGGACACATTTCCACTAGGCAAAATACTATAAAATACTTGAACAGCTGGCTTCTCGACTTTCTTTCGAGCATGCCTAGTGTTCGAGCTTTTCCGGTTCGCGAGATTGGCTACTCAAACAGCTTTCCTGTCACCAAGGGCTGTTTGGAAAACATCGCACTCAGGAGAAAACTCAGGAACATCGCAATGGGAACTTAGAACATTCAATTGGTTGAACATCTTAGAAACAATTTCAAGGCTCCATAAATCAGAAGAGCCAGGCATAAGTGAACTTGGGAAAGTGGCTGAAGGATCAGGCGGTAGGAGCAGTCCTTGCTCCCCCATTGCTGTGCGAACGGCAGACGCTTGAATTGGCCAACGAAGTTAGGGACAGCAAACTTCCAGATGCTTCAACTCTGAAAGACTTACGAGAGATTGATTTCCATAGTGAGACAGGTCAGGAGAGGCTGCAGAATGATCCATCCATAAATTGTGGTGTATATATATTAATCGTGGTGAGCCGTGGTGTTTTGTCGCAATACTATACATTCACATGTATGATCATATATATATATAATGTATATTAATGCACCATACGCACAGCACTAGTACATAACATGCACACAGACGTCATGCGTGATTCCTTCATTGCTGACGGATTTTGGTTGTTTTGTCTTATTCATTTGACGCTCGCCAGGTGAGACAATACCTGCTAGCATTCCAATGGCCGAAATGTTTGGAAGCAGTCATGGCTCATGGTTGGGTTGCCCAGCGCCTGTGCACCGACAATGTTGAAGTTGGAAATGATCAAGATATCGCAAGATACTGATTCGTTTGGACAGTTCTTTTTGTTGCAGGTGCAGCCCAAAGCTCTGCTAAGACAAGGCATCAAAGTTTTGGCACTTCTTTATTTCAATGTGCTTTCGAGATTGAGATGTCCATGTCATGAAATGCCGGGTTGTATTTTGGGAAGGGGATGCATAGCTGATCGATCAACAGTACCAATACTTTTTTACAATGTAGCTTGTATCGCTTCTCATCAGGAGGCTCACGATTGTCACATTTGTTGCTTGCGAAGCACATGCATGCTGCCTTTAGTGGAAGAGACTGCACGCATCAGGGAGTCGCTGCGCACGCCGCCTGGAACGCCTGCAGCATGTCTGCAATTCACTGCCCTCAAAAGGAGTCACCCTTTACAAGTCGGTTATCATCATTTTTATATATTTGCGTCACCATACTGAGAAAATGCATACTTTGGTTTGTCCTGGACAGGATCAATGCCTAAAAGAGGGGAGGATGTCGTTGGAACTCATCCCAACTTTGAGGAGGACAGTACTCCAACGATATGGATTGATTGATGAGGGGAGCCGCTGATTTCAGTACCAATGCTTTGAGCATTCCCGCTCGACCTACACGGCCCAATGTTCAACATTCGGATCTTCAGTCATTTGCAGTATTTCAGTGAAGATCAAGATCTTCAGCCATATTTGATCTTCATACATATCACGAAAGCTAGCGAAGCTAGCTGGAGTTACTCTTGCGATAGCAAGGTTTCTTTCAACCGGGTGCAAATCCTAACCCCTGATTTTTCAGGTCGAAGACCCCCCCCTACCCCCCCTGAAAAGTAGAGCCTACCTGTACAGGGTTCCACTCCAACAGCTGATATAGTGTGTCCATGCTTGACTGCTTCAAGGCTCAAAGAGCAAGAGGATAAGACTCTGCGCATAAAAGACACTAGCGGTCTGCACCTCTACCGTGTACGCCCTAGTCACTCTTTCAGTGGTAGCGGAGCAGTGATCCTGGAAGACCCAGGTGAGCTCCTTTCCTAGGCATAGAATTGCTTGTGGGCAAACGGCCATGGATTGGATTGACGACTGGGAAGAGCCTGATACGGATGTGGCTTATGAGCCAGCAGCCTACGTGAATAGGCATGTGAGAAGAGAACCAGCAGCAATAGCAATGACAACACAGGTCACTACAAAGGTGCCCCCATCTTATGATGGAAAGACTTCATGGTTTTCCTATGAGGATGCCATAGACGATTGGTGTGATATCACCGAGCTGGAAGATGAGAAGAGAGGACCAGCTTTGAGAAACAGATTAGAAGGAGAAGCAGCAGTATACAAACGTGTATTAGACAGAGATTCATTGAAGGCTAATGAGCCACCAGGAGCAGGAGTAGATTACTTCAAACGAGTACTACGACCATATTTCGTGAAAGGATCAACCAATGTATTCCTATACAGGTTTATGCAATTCGTGCGATTCAATCGAGGATCAGCCGACATGATGAAATGGATGACAAGATTCCAGATTTTACTCCAAAGGCTTATGAGCAGTTGGATGGACATGTTAGAACCAGTCACTCAAGCACATCCCCAAGTCCTTGCTCAGATGCAGGCAGATGCAGCGTTGACTGGAGTAGCACCAACGGCAGAAAGGATTCAGGAAATCATGCAGAATGTCAATGGCAATATGAGAATTCTTCATCAGAATGATTTTCCTTTAGGAGAGAATCTCATTGCCCTACTCATGCTGTCCCTTGCAGATTTGTCTCAGGACCAGCGAAACACTTTGACTTCGTTGATGACTCATCGTGGCAGGTACCTGCAGCAATACACCACAACAGAGTTGAGGACAGTGTTCATCGAGATGTTCTGCACGACAAAGACTTCAGTAGACAATCCATTGATGCAGCCGACAGGTGCTGGAGGTAGAAGATCATTTCTCGTACTAGACGAAGGAGAAATCGATGGTACATTTGGCTATTGGGCCGAAGATGAAGAAGATGGAACAGAAGGATTTTTAGATGCCCTGGACGATGTTTTTTGGGTATATGATGATCAAAACTTCTCGTGGTTCCAAAGGAGATTTCAAGGAAGAAGAGCCAGAAAAGGCAAAGGAAAAGGAAGAAGAAAAGGAAAAGGAAAAGGAAGATCAGGCCGCAGATTCTTCAGACCTCGTGGAAAAGGAAAAGGAAAGAGACGAGGTAAAGGCCATTTTGCTGATGAGCAACAGACAACATATCCAGAAGAGTACTTTGAAGAGAATCCTTATGAGGATACTTGGGAGTCAAACCAAGGAGCATATGATGCTATTCTTGCCGAAGATATGAATGACTATCTTCAAGGAGAATATGATGATGCCAATGACTTTTGGCAACAGCTTGAAGAAGCTTGGTTTTCCCACAAAGGAAAAGGAAAAGGCAAGAGAAAAGGCAAGAAAGGAAAAGGAAAAGATAAAGGAGATGGCAAACAAGATGCAAACTATGCAAATCAACAACAGCCACGTTCTTTACCTGCACCTTCAAGATCTTCACAAGCATCAGGAGGTCAACAAGGTTTCTTTGCACATTGTGTGACAGCAGCAGCTGAAGTCCATGACAGTGAGGTGGACTTGCTGTCAGGCATGATGACCTCATGCCAAGATGAAGCTGACTGCGTGGTCAACAATGGTGAGACGATCTTCGGTGACATGAGTGCCCCTGTGAGGTACTCTTTGTCAAAGGAGATGCTCACAAAGGCTCCTGATGGCTTTGCGCTTATGAGCGCTGATGGCTTTGCGCTTATGAGCGCTGAGGAAGAAGTGAAGGAGATGCAGGCCATTTCATTTTTGACTGAGAATCGCTTCCCGCCAACTATTGCAATCCTGGACATTGGATGCACTAGAGCTATGGGATCAAGGCGAGCAGTCGACCATTTTTGCAACTATGTCGACAATCACCCAGATTGTGGATTATGGTACTCTTTTGAGTCTACCAAGAGCAAGTTTTACTTTGCCAATTCCCAGAAGGCTACTTGCTCTCAGAAACTGGTGATATATATGTATGATCGTGCATGGACGATCCACCATACAGAGTTCGACATAGTGGAAGAAGGAGAAGTCCCTTTGCTTATGAGCTTGCCACAGATGAGGAACTTAGGCTTTGAACTCAGGCTGACACCTCAACATTCTTATCTGACATCGGTGCCTCTTGGTATCAAATTTTTGGAGTTGAAGGTTGCAGCCAGTACTCATCTTGTGTTGGACTTCCAAGATATTGCATGGTATCTGTCTGACGTGCGTTGGCAGACTCAGCGTGAGAAGAGTTTTTACTCTCACCTCACTCACTATGAATATGGCCATATTTTTGTTGAACACAATAGTGATGAAGGTGAAGCTGAGCATGCATATCCTGTGGTTGATTTCTGGGAAGTAGATGTTCACAAGAGAGAACTGATACGTCGCCACAAGGATTACAGGAAAATTCTTTTCCCAGCAACTAAGTCCTGTCCTGTAGACACTGACTTGCTGGAAGACTTGCGACTGACAATCATCAAGAAGAAAGCAGGAGGAGAAGAAATCAAGAAGACAGATGATTGGCGCAAGGCAAAATGGAAGGACCTACAACTTGGCTATGAATGGCGTGGCAGAACAATTTTTAAATTTAAGCCAGATGCCAAAATTCCAGATCTAAAGGTCAGGAAGGCTGGCATTGAGCACCGTGGCATTGGTGATCCCGATGCAGTGGTGCGCTCCTCCTCAGAGAAGGTTCCCATTGCAAAGGACAGGGAACCAGGCTTCTCATCAGAGAAGGAAGGTGCACCATCCAGTGCCGCGGAAAAGCCCGCGCCGCCAAAGTTTCGGTATACTTCCAAGGGTTTTGATCCATTTTGGAAGGGACACAAGTCGAAACCATCTGAGCCTCAGAATGATTTAAAGGGTGATGATCTTGAGGAGTATGCTCCCTCAGAACCACCTGAGAGGCCAGAAGGTGAACTTGTAGAAATTCCTAAAGCATCAAAAGGACCATCAAGTGATAAACATGAACCACTTGAACCAGGTGATGGCGCCCTTGAGCCTAGGCGGATTTCAATCCCATTACCTGGTAGTGAAGTTGTTGCAATGACACCGGCATATAGGAAGATGTTACAGAGACTGGAGGACAAGGTAGAGCTTTATAAGCTTCATGTGAAGCACTACCATATGAGTCCTACTCAGTTTCGTAGACGTGTTTCTATGTTGAAGCTTCCTGACTCTGTTTTAGAGAAGTATGAATCAGTTGTCAGGAACTGCCGTGTTTGTAACACTTCAGTGGCACCTCCGCCACGAGCCAGAGTCTCCGGTATTAGAGCTTC